CTCCTCCTCAGAGCACTCAAAGCTTCAAAGTCTTTGTGTCACTGCTTCTGGTCACAGCTTCCGCCATGCAGGCTTCATGCTCTTGCAAGAAACTTCCCTCCAGGTTTTGCTGATAAGAGTAATGCAGTGGAGGATGCAGGAAATGATTTTTCCAGAACTCTTGAAGGGTCACCTTGCTGTCTTGAGATTATTTCAAAAGACTGCTGGCATAGAGCTCTGGTGTAGAGTTTTTTGAAATTAGCAATGATTTGCTGGTCCGGGCTGGATGAGAGGAGTCATATTCAAAGGAGAGCTTACCAGTGATAAAAGAACACTTACCATCCAACTGGCCCTCTAAGCCTGGAGGACGAGCAGGAACACTGTCTTTAAGGCAAGTTGTCCTGAAAGTGGTTTTTTTACATTGGGCCGAAACACTTCAGCCTATTCCATGAAAAACTGCTAGGTCGCCCAGGTTTTATTATTTGCCCTGTGCGTCACATTTAATGTGGGCTTCACTGTAAAATCCCCACTAGCATTCCCATTCAACAGAGTGAGCCTATCTTTCATAAGCTTGTGGCCTGGCATTGTTTTTTCCTCTTTAGTAATGAAGGTCCTTGTTGTAGTCAGGGTTTACAAGGGAAAAGATTTAATACAGGACACCTAATTTATAGGATTATTTTATAGTATTCACTCAAACAATCAAATACAAAAGAGCATAGGAGTTCTCTTCACAAGCTGGAGACCCAAAGAATCCCATGGTAGTATCCTGCACAAGTCCCCAACAAAGTCCCATGCAAGTCTGTCAAGGATCTGTGCTAGGAAGGCCCAAAGGACAGTCATGGAAGATAGGAAGTCTATGCCAGCAGGATGAGGGATCTGTGCCAGCAGGTGGAGAGATATGCACTGGAGCCAGGAAGTGATGCTCACGGTAAGGACCAGAGCTCCCCCAAAGACAACAGCAGCCATCATCAGAGACTAGATCCCAAGCTCCTCCAACGATGAGAACAGGCAAGTTCCTGTCAGGAAGACAGTGTGACAAGCTTCTCCAGGAGAATCAACAGCATACCTCATTCCCCTCAGTTCTCTTTTTGTGCTGTTGGTAACAATCCTCAAATGGGCCTTCCACATCCAGCCCCATGCTGATTCAGTTCAGCTGGGTGTTACAGGTTGACCATCAGTCAATCCACCACAGTCCTGTTGCACATTTTTTCCAAAAAAGTCTGGTTTCATTGCAGTTGAACTCTTGCTGGGGAATGAAATCCTACCCCCCATGTATTCAGCAAATTCAGCCACAAATTTGTCAGCTTTGTCTGTTTGCACTTGCCCCATTCACCACGTCTCACTACACTCTGTGCCTTTTCTCTTTGAATTTTTCAAACTGGCCGTGGCTAGCTTTGGACACATTGAGCTGCTCAGCACTCAGTCCCACAATATCCTTCATTGCAGGTTTTTAGCTTTCTCACATTTCACTGTTTTGGATATCCGATCACATCCCATTGTCTCTGGTTTATCCAAATTAACTGTAACTTTTTAACATAGTCTGGGTGCTCTGTTTTGTGGATAATGATTTCACATCTTTTGCTACCTTACCCAATTTAATCACTGTTTTTTTTCCCAGTAATTTTGATTTAATCATGTTGTATTCAGCTGTCAGATGGGACCAGCGATGGACAGCTTCAAGTTTTGTGATTATTTCTTTTTTTAACTCTACCATGGTTCTCACAGTTTTCCTTTACTGCTGGTATCACTAACTTTCTCTGGACCCATGGTTATATTTTACACAAATAAAGTACAAGGAAAAAAAGCACAATGACTAATGTTTTCATGCACCAATGCAACCACTATGTGCTGTCTAAACAACAGCACAGCTTAGACTGTAGCATCTAAGCTGTGTGTCACTCACTTTTGGCCCATGCAAGTTTTTTAAGTCACAGTTTTGGTTTGACTATCAAGCAAAATTCAAGGGTAGAGCCATTTGACAGTTGAGGTATCAGGGAAAGTTCAAATTGTACTCACATACACTATGGCAATTTATTTATTTATTTTTTTCAAGACAGGATTTCACTATGCAGTTCAGGCTGGTATTTGAACTCACTTTGTAGATCAGGCTGGCCTTGAACTCACAGCCATCTTTCTGCCTCAGCCTCCTATGTGCTAGAGTTACAGGCATGCACCACCATGCCCAGGCAAACCATGGCAATATAGAAATACCCCACATGTGTGGACAAAATCTAAAAAATCATTCAACAAATAATTGCTGGTGCAAAAAAAAATTTGTAATAGGAGGTGATGCTGAGATTTGTGAGTTTAACAATAAAGAAAAAGGTGTGGTTTTGGTTTTAAAAAAAACTTCAAGTAATGCATTATCAAATTCTTCAGTCTTTCACTAAGCTACATAGCCTCAGCAACTTCAAATTCAGAATGTGTTGAAAATATTTCCCTTCTCCCTCCAAGTCCACTAGATGCCACTAGAGGTCAGGCCCCCATTTAATAATACATTTCAAAACTACTTGCAGAACAGGGCTCACCTAACGGCTTTTTGCTCACATTCTTTCCTCCACTGGGAAATCCTTTTCTTCTGCAACCAGCAGGGCCACAAAGCTCATTTTAAAAAACTCAGATCCAGCCGGGTATGGTGATGCATGGCTGTAAACCTAGCACTCAGGAGGCTGAGGCAGAAAAATCGTTTCAAGTTTGAGACTGGCTTGGGCTACAAAGTGAGATGAAGGCCAGCCTGAACTGTATAGCGACACCCTGTCTCAAAACAACAGATAAACAACTCAGATGCTCTAAGCTCTTCCTTTACATCCCCCTCTTGCATGTAAATGTTTTTACCTGACCTGCACCCTTCTATCTTGTACATGTTATCTGAGGTTGGTAGTGATCAGATCCTAGTTAATGTTTGGCTTCTGATAGATGCTGTGTGCCATGTACCAGTCCAGAAAGGCTCACGTAATGGGTCCAATTCCCAGTACTATGTTAATGCACACGCACACGTATGTGCACTTGCACAGAAACAAATCAATCCCGATAGGTTAAATTACACTGCAGATACCAATTCTCCTAAACGTTAGTAGCTGAACACAACAAAGATTTGTAAGTTTTATTCCCACTCATCAGGGATCGGCTAGGGGCTCATCTCAGTGCCCCCACCCCTATGAATGTACACTAATGGAACCATTCCAGAGAAAGCCAATCATGGTGACTGCAATAGGCAGAAAAACAGGGGCTTGCAGCTTGGGAATCAGTGCTTTAATATTACAACCTCAAGTTGACATGGTGACTTTCACTCAGACTGCATTACCAAGAATTAATGATGGTAGCCCATTCAACCACAAGGGCATCAGGAAATACAACCATATCAGGTGACTAGAAGGTGGGGGCAGAAATACTAAAGACCAGTGACTACCACTAGTGATCCTTCTAGTGGATAATCAGTCAGCTCACTATCTCAGCGGCAGGTAGCATACCTCATGCCTCAGCCAAGGAAACCACCCAAGAATTCCATTTAGTGACATCAAGTTCAAATCTAACAATCTCTGGGTGATGCATAATAGCTTCTCTACCAGTTTTAGATGAGATTCAGGAGAGATCCCCTGGGTACATAAAAAGGACTAAGGAGAGCTGGGCATGGTGATCCCAGCACTCTGGGAGGCTAGGGCAGGCGGATCTCAAGTTCAAGCCCAGACTGGCGAAATTTAGCAAGAACCTCTCAAACAAAAATAAGTAACTGGCTCTGGTTGTAGTTCAATGGGAAGGCCCTGGGTTCAATTCCCATTACTGCTAATAATATTTAGCTCAATTTTTTTTGGTACCGGGAATCCAACTCAGGACCTTGCACTTGCCAGGCAGACACTTATGCTGCTAATAATAAATAAAAAATTCAAAAAAAAGGCCAGGGATATAGCTGAGTACAAAAGTGCTGGGCTCATTTCTCAGCACGGACCCAAATTCACAAATCCATCATGTTCACATGACACAGATGTGCAAATGGGAATATATTACCAGAAGCAGAGGGAGTACACTTGTTCATGGGACAGGGAATGGAGGAGGGATAAATACAAGAAAAAACAAAACCTTTCCCTTTTTTAGAACAAGTTACAGATTTGGGCCAGAGAGTAGAAACAATCATCTGTGAGATACAGTGATCCTAAAAACAATCAGAATTATGCCCTCATTCTGCTGGAGAAAAGACATGGAACAATAAAGCCCAGGCCTCCTGGACTAGTTGTTTTCTTTCTTATAGTCAAAATGAGGGGAGGGAAGAATGGATCATTCATCTTTAGACTGTCACACAGAGTAACAAGAGCGTGACACACCTGTCTCTTTGGATGCTCCAGCCCCTTACATAAAATGTTGTACTATTTCCATATAACCTGCACACATGCTACCATATACCTTAAATCTCTATAGTACTGGTAATAGTCCATACAATGTAAATGCTGCTTACATATTTGCTACACTATATTCCTTAGGGAGTAGTGAGAACAAGTTTGTAAATGATCTATACAGGAACAACTAAAAAAGCACTTTGAGGGTTGAGGGCTATCTAGCCTGTGGACTGGGCGTGGTAAAGCATGCCTGTGATTCCATCACTTAGGTGGTTGAGGCAGGAGGATCTCTGCAAGCTCACGGCCAGCCTGGGCTATATAAGCCAGTTCAAGACCAGTCTACACTACACAGAGACCCCATCTAAAACAAAACAAAAAGTCTAGTATGTGCAAGGCCATAAGCTTGATCCTCAGCACAGCTAACAAAGAAAAGCAAAACTTCAATCTGCGGTGAGCTGAATCTGAAGGTATAGACTCTGGCTATGCAGGGCTGACTATAATTATCTTGGTGTAGGCTTAGTCAACTGGCTGACACAATAAACCTAACTGCCCCGGTGCCCAAATTCAGAGGTTTATATTTAAAAAGTTTTTCCTGCTCCAAAATTTTAAGACATTAAACCTTAGATTTATGAATTGAGACCCTCTCTTACCACTAATTTCAAGGGCAGAAATCAACATGACACACAGAAATATATATTCAACTTTATTGCATTAGAAAAATTAATTTAAGCCACATGGTGACCATAATACCCATGTCCCAGGAGGGTGTCATCCCACTGTGCTCTTTAGACTAATATATACAAACACATACACACTATGTTGGATGGATTGAAAACTGTGAAGTAATACACTTGATACTCCATCCTGCTCCTGCTTGTAGCCAACTGATACACCTCAACTATTATCTAGACATAAAAGAGTTCTCACAAGAAGACAACACCAACCAATCAAAGCTGCCATGAGGCACCCAGGTCCAAAGAAACTCTTGTTGAATGTTTAGGATGTAAGCTGAAGTTGCAGCATGACTCCACATTTCAGAGGTGTCAGAGGCACAGTGCAGAGGACATCAAAGCCAAGAGTCACTGGGGAAAAGGGAGAGAAAACAAAGGCAGCCCACTTACACCTCTATACTCAACTGGCTCTGTTTCAGGGCAAAGAGCATCCACGTAGGCTGTCCCAGTCTTGTTAACGGTTTTCTGGAAACACTGGGAGCTTGCCTGCTGAGACACCAGGTACGATATGCTGAGGTCTGTGTTTTAAGGCATGGCTGGTGCTGAGGGAGATCTTACTGCACCCCTCTGGATGGGTGATCAGGAAGGGTTTTGGGTAGCTCAGTGTGGGCTAAATGATTTCTCATGGTCCAGGTGCTTCCAGGCAATGGGCTTTCCAGTAATCCCTCCACTGATTCCATGAGTCTAAAGAAGACAGACAGCAAGGTGAGCACCACACCCAGCAGGTACAGATTCAAAATATGCTTCATAGCTGAAAGGTTGCTGTGCCTTTGTAGGGTAACAGAGCTGTCTTCTGCTTCTGGTTGGCCTTTGGGTCCTGAAGAAAGAGGACGGGGTTAATCTACAGCCTCTGGGGATATGCTTGCATTCAGCCTTAACCCTCAGCTCCTTCCCAAGAGCTGAGGGAGAGGCTTAACCTGCCAGGGAGTCAGGGGGCAGTGTACTCTCCCACCAGAGAATCTCCAAGTGTATATTTATACCACAAACTCCATGGCTGTGGAGCCACACTTGGCTCTCACACTAACTCAAAAGCACTGCTCTAAATTTTTTCTTCCCTGGAAGACTGTTCTGGGAAGGTGTAATGCACACTCTGTGCTACTACTGTGCAAGTACCTTAAGAGGAGATCCAGTCACTTTGTAGAGAAAGAAGGGACGATAAAAAACATGCCCTAGAGCAGCCTGGACTACCTAGTGAGTTCAAGCCCAGCCTTGACGACACAGCAATACTCTGTCTCAAAAAAAAGAATATACCCTAGAGAAAGCAACCTGCCTAGAAGTCTCTCCCATGTGGTCAAATTCGAGTTAACTATAAACTTTCTGGAGATCAAAATAATTTTGAGAGTCAAATCTATCAAGTTCAACACTTACAGTGTAAGGCATCCTGGATGGTGATAGGGCCACACAGCAACCCGGAGGACACGAACCGTGTCCTCGCGGGGCTACTCCCGCCACAACCCGCTAGATGCGGTGCCGGCAAAGAGATGCTAAGGACGCTCTGGAAGGGCTTGGCTGGGACGCCGCCCAACAGCACCTGCGGGTGCCAGGTGGGCTAAGGGGATTTGGTACCACAGAGAAAAACGGCTGGGGCGGCTAGCTGTGTGGGGACGCGGGGGAAGGCAGCCGGCGCCACAGTCCCAGCTTGGGAACCCAGAGACCCGGCTGGCACCCAGAAGGGGGCAGGGAGCCTGGAAACCCATTCCCGAGGGAAAAGCCCAGCGCCATTCACCTCTAAGGGGAAGATCCAGGAGTGGAGCGCTCAGTATCGTAGCAGATCGCTATCGCAGCAAGTCCTGCTGGAGTCGGGAGTAAAGTCGGCAGAACCACAGCAGCCAGCAGCGGCGGAACTCCAGGAACTCAGCGCTCTGTAGAGAAGACTGCCACGCGGCGAAGTCTCCCACTACCCCCGCTGCAAGCCAGGCCCCGCCCCTTATAATGGCGGCACCACCCCCGAGCGCAAGCGCACGCGCACTGGAGCCGCACGCACGAGCCTGCGCGCACGTCTGCGGCCCCGCCCTTGCGCGAAAGAGCTCGGGCTGGCGGCTGCGTCAAGTTACATCTACAAGTGATTGTACGCCGTGTGTCTAAGCGTTAAGTCATTGCGGTCGCCATATGTGTTAATTCCGTCTGTTTTCTGCTGCTGCAGGACGCTTTTGAAGCAGAAGGAAACAGATTTATCCCCTACGTCGTCCGCCAGACGAGCCTGGGGTGACCGCGCTCCGTGGCTCCTCGCAGGGATGCGCTGTCTTCGGGGCCGGTTGTTCGCCAGAGGCTGACGAGGTGCAGGTTACCAGAGGGCTGCAGACCCCCACCCAGCCCTTGTCCCTCCATTTCAGGGCCTGAAGAGTGGGTTTTATTTAACTTCTTAGAGAAACCAGGAGTAAGGCGCCACCCCCACTCCCCTAGAGCATATCTGTGGTTTAACCGTCTTTCTGCAGTGGGAGGTCCTTTTTGATCACTTTAAACGCTCTTTCTATGAGTTTGTCCCCCACCTTCCTCAGTACTGGGTATTAAACTCGACCTTCTGATGAACTACACACTCCGGCCTTGACTTTTTTTTCTATAGACAAGATTCCACTAAATCTAAAATTGTCCAGCCTCGACCCAAATTTATCAGCCTCCCAGACTGATGAGATTGCAGATGTGTCTTTGACATGTTCTGCTTGTCATGTTGCTTAAAACAATGTGGACTACTCCCGGACCTTGGGACGGGCTCGTCATTGCTTATGGGCAAGTCATTTTGCATGCTGCGGCCTGCGTTTCTCCTCTAAAAAGAGCATTGGCCCCTGGTTGGTTTTAAAGGGGGCTTTTAACCTGAACTGAAGAGCTAGAAAGTTGCAGCCAAGGCGTGGGGGGCTGAGGCCCCTCACTAGGTACCATCCCACCTCACCAAGACAAAAGCATCACTGTAGTAGGAGATGCAGAAAAGAGAGTCCCAGAGGAGAAGATGGAATGGAGAGGCCCCTGGACGGAGCATCCACAGGGGAGAGAAAGGCCCTGGGTGATCCGTGCCCTCTTCTTGGGGAGCAGGTCACACCTCTCCGTCAGGGATAACTCGAGGCAGGCAGACAGGGGCCCTTTCAGCTCTAAGGCATTACCGAATCCCCAGGCCAGCGATCCGGCTGGGCAGGAAAGAACCTGAGGCTCCCATAGCTGCCTGCTCTGCTCACCTGAGCCGTGGGAAGGGGCGGAGGCACAGCTACGCCACGACCTTTCCCCTACTTTCTAGGCACCCTGCAATCTGTTGGGGAAGGAGGGCGTGGGACTGTCGGAAATGAAGAAAGTTAAGGAATTCATATGTGCTGCCAGACAAACATTTGGAAATCAGTTTTGCAGCTCAGCTCTCAACAATTTTTGGTCCCTTATCAGTCCAGAGTTATATGTGCCCCCAATCTAGAATTCTACTTCTAAGAATTATCTTTATAGCTGGGTGTGGTGGTACCCGCTTGTAATCCCAGCCCTCTGCAGGCTGAGGCAGGAGGATCAATGTGAGTTCAAGGCCAACCTGAATTGCCATAGCAAACCATGTCTGAAAAAGACCCCCCCCAAAAAATCCTTGCAAACTCCTATAAGTAGAGAATTGATTATGTAGAGATAATCATTGCAGCATTGTTTATAATAACACTGGGGGAGCCAGTCTAAAGGACTTGGTTAAATAAATCATGGTGGACTAGCAAAAGCGTAAAAAAAAGATCTATGCGTACTGAGATGACTGCCATATATTGTTAAAAGCTAAATGTTGGTTGTTACAAATTGTAGTGCCCAAAAACACTCTTAAGATGATTGTCTTTAAAAATGAAAGGAAAAAAAAAGGAACAATTATTGTAACAAACTGATGATAAACCCAAACGTCTGTGCTTCCTTTGGAATGCTGCACTCTATTTCCCATCATTAGTGCAGTTAGGATGAATGTATATAATTCAGAGTTACTCGTGTTCACATTTTAAAACTAGGTAAATGACCCCATCTTTTGAACTTGAATTCATTTTAATTTTGTTTTATACGACGTGGAGGCAATTTCCTGTTCATTGCGTTTAGAAGGACAATATAAATCTGTTAATTCTGTAATTTATAATGTATCTCTATCCTAGCCTTAAAACATTTGAAGCCATTTATATACAAAAAAGCTAAATGTATAAGTGTATAAAGTGTATATACAGTGTAAAAGAGTTTTGCCCTAGAATAAATTACAGGACATTATGGTGGTAGGCCAAATCAGGAATGCTTACCCTGAAGGTCACTTCTTCCTCCTTCCCCAGTTACAACTTCCTCCTTCCTTTCCCAGTGTGCACAAAGAAAATTCCAATCAGCTCCTCTTGTGTCATCAGTGCGCACTCCAAGCACCACATCTGGTCAAAGGTCATATATACCCCACACTCCCATATCTGGGCAGAGGAGAAAGACAAACCCTCCGCATCCTTTAAATGAAAAGGCCACTTTTATTTTTTCTTATATTCTGCTTCTTTATTGCACCAGAAAACTCTAACACAGTGCTGTAGTTTGTATTAAACAATCATAACATAGAATCTACATGGGATACCCACTAAGGTGCTCACACCCACTAGGATGGCTATCATGAAAATAAAACCAGAAGGGAACAAGGGTTGGTGAGGAGGTAGAGAAAATGGAAGCTTCCCTTGTTGGTTCTGGGTCTATAAAATGGTATATCTGCTTTAGAAAACAGCTTACCCCTCAAATAGTGAAACATAGAATTACCATACGATGCAGAAATTCTACTCATAAGCAGTCAAGAAAATTGAAGATACTAGTTCACACAAAAAATGTGCACACAGAAAATTTTAAAAATGACATTTGATGATATATGGGGCATATAATACAGGAATGATATAGGACCTCGAAGTAATAAGGGAAATACAACTCCCAACCTGCTCGGTATCTAATATGTTGTGTTTGTGTTCTCTAAAATTGACAAATTCTAGGAACTACAAAGGTTAAGGGTAAGAAGTTATTTCTTGAGAGAAAGCTTCTGCCTCAGGATGAAAGGGGGTCCTGAGTGAATGGCCTGGGAACCCCACTTCTCACAAAGTCTTACAAAGTGAAATCACTGAGTGAGACCAGGTATAAGGTGGGACAAAACAGTAGTTAACCAAAAAAAAAAACCCCAAATAACTAATAAGATTACAAGTATAGTCACTTAAGTAATATTGACCCAGCACTTAGGTAATGCTGATTAAATGGAGATCAAGTGGGGATGTAAATCACCTAGCATTAGCAAGTGTACATGGACCAAACAAGGAAGGAATGGGCTAGGGAGGTTTTGGTCCTCCACCCAAGGCGATTACTACCTAGGTAGAATATGAGTTACAGCTGTCCACCCCTAGGGGTAATATATGCTGTAATCATTGCTCTGTCCTAAGGTCAGACCTTCACCAGAATGCGTCTCTAGTCACAGATGTCTTCTTCCCTGACCTCTCAAGGGCCCAGCCCTGTCCAACTTCCTGTAAATTTTTTTTGTTGTTCTGGGGATCGAACTCATGACCTCCCTCTTGCCAGGCAGGCGCTTATGCCTCTGAGCTAAATCCCTGGCCCCTGCCTATAATATTTTGAATAATTTAGCTCTCTGTAGTAATACTAAAGACTCTGCTTTTTAGACTGAAAAAATGTACACAAGTGTTTATAACACCATTGTTTATAACTGCCAAAAAAAATTAGATCCAACCCAAAATGTCCATCAAATTGTGAAACGATAATTGAAATGTGGTATGGTGGAATATCATTCAGCCATCAAAAATGAAGTGCTAGTCAAGCGTGGTGGCACATGGCTGTAATCTCAGAATTTGGGAGGCTGAGGCAGAAAGATCACTGAACATTCAAGGTCAACCTGAACTATATAGTGAGACATTGTCACTTGTCTCAAAACAACCAAAAAATAAGGGTAATAACATGAGCTTAAATGAAATTGACTATTCAAGACTATTTTTTTTTCAAATCCATTATATTTCAAGACTTTTTAAAAAATAATGATTAGTTTGGGAAAGTAAAAATAAAATGAGCTTGAAAATCAGTAAACATTTAAGATGAGTTCAGGGAGCAGAAATAAAATGGAAGCAGGCTTTTCTTTGGAAGAAAAGTATATGAATAATTTTTTTGTCTTTTTCTTTCCTTTTTTTTTTCTTTTGGTACCAGGGATCAAACTCAGGACCTGGAGCTTGCCAGGCAGGTGCTTATGCCACTGAGCTAAATCCCTGCCCCTTTTTTCGTCTTTTGAGATAGGGTCTCACTATGCAGTTCATGTGGCTCTCAAGCTCACTTTGTAGTCCCGGCTGGTCTCAGATTTACACCAATCCTCCTGCCTCAGCCCCCTGAGTGCTGGGATTACAGGTGTGTGCCACCATGCCTGGTTTATATTGATAATTTTAGAATTTTAAGTACTCACATTAAAATGTTACAGTAGCTCATATTTTCCTTCCCTTCCTGAACAATTCAGTTTCCACTCTACTGGGCATACGATAGAAAGCTAAATTAGATAGAAATATAGTAGGCAGTCAGACAGGGCTGGGCCCTCCAGGGAGTCAATGCAAAAGATGATTTATCATAATTGTAGCTAGAAGTGCTTATGAAGATTAAAATCACAATGACTAATTTTACATACTTTCCTAAGAGATGAAGGAGGCTTTAGAGATTTTGAGATTTCCCATTATCTCATTAGTGTTGGGCCATCCTCTTCCACCTGCTGAGAGACTAAAACCAAGAACACTAAGATTGAAACCACTAAAAACTGCTAAGAGTGAAGACTAAGATTATAGGCCGGTGTGTTCGCTCACACCTGTAATTCTAGCATTTGAGAGGCTGAGGTAAAAGGATCGCTGCAAATTTGAGATCAGCCTGGACTACAAAGTGAGTTTAAGGCCAGCTTAAACTGCATCTTGAAACTGTCTCAAAAAGACAAAAAAAAAAAAGACTATAGATCAACCAA